GTGTGGAATGGAAACGTTAGCAAAGGACGCCCAAGTTCAGTAGCTCTGGTGGCCAAGCACCTGATTTTCCCTTTCCACATGGCTTCCATTTCCTGCCCCAGAAGAGCTGTAAGGGAGCTTTCGCAGACAGACAGGAAACACTGAGGGGCCTGGCTGGGGACGGAAGCCAGGAAGGGTCAAATTGGAGGTGACACAGCTCAGCTGTGGTTGCCTAAAGCAGAGGGTTAATGTTTCTGCTTTAATATCAGGTGCCAATTGGTCCACTCAACCAGGCAGGTGTCATGTCGGACCCCGCCCCATTTGGTTTCACTTCTTCCGAGTTAGGCAACACATCTATTTTCAGGCCCGAGTCCAAAAATCAAGGCCACGGTGTCACTATATAGTGTTCTAATAAGTCCAGCAGTCGCTCTGCTGGCTTGGTATTTCAGGGAAATCAGGTTCAGAGCAGTAATTTCTGGCTATGATAATGAGCCACAGAGATTGCTTTCAGGGCCCTGACTCAATATCGGGAGGTCACATTCCAGCCCTCTGTGATGGATGGGTCCAGGCCTGCTATTATCTTCACGAGATGAGGCACACTACTTTAATTGACCAGCCGCATCCCTACCTCGACAAACACAGGAAGGCTTCCTCCATTAGGCACTGATGGATCGAAGCAGGGCGGGGAAAAGAGACTGTAATTTTCTCTGTGGGTCAAATTCATCGAATGTACTTTCTTTTCAAAAAACGATTGCTATTTATTTCCTAGCACGGTGATGGAGCGTCTCCTTCTGCCCGCTCGTTCTTTCTTTTTAAAAGTTATCTAATGATTTGGCGGGGAATCCTGCAATTTATGTGTCAGGGAAAATGTCACGCTTTGAAGCCACACTCCAGCACTGAGACAAGTTGCCAGTAATTACCATGAGCCCCACTCCTCTCTGGGGCAGAGCATTGCTCCATCAAGCACGGCTTCCACCCTGGAGAGCCGTGTTTGAGACAGCCTCCATGGTTTCTCAAATCAAAATCTGCCCTGGAGATGTAACAACATGCCAACCTTTAACTCAAAATCGAACATCGATGTTAATCTTCGGGGTTCATCAGAATGGGAGAAACCCTCTCCACTCTCATATCTCCTACCCCCACCCCAGTTCCCCCCACATGCCTGGTTCTGCCTCCTGTCGATACCTTGGGCTTTGCCAATCAGTGGCTGAGGCTTCTGGGCTCCCACTGGGTACCATGTCTCCTGCCCACCCCACAATTGCTTCTTGCTATAAACATACCTACCCCACCCCCCATTTCACAGGACTGGGAGGTAGTGAGAATCTACACTAGCTGATAAAAGGCTTTTGCTCTGTTGTGGTGCTGGGAATACAAATGCAATGTCTCCTACAAGCCAGGAAAAGATAGGCTGTTTCTTTCGATTTTTTGGAGACAGAGTTTGACTATGCAGACCTTTAACTCATAGAGATCCCCCTGCCTTTCTATACCTATGCCTACTGAGCGCTGGGATTAAAGGTGCACACCACTATACATGGCTGGAAAAGGAGGCTTGCTAACAGGACCCACACAAGCCTTGGAGCTAGGCATGGGGGAATCAGGTCCAGCCTGGACTTCATGGTGAGATTCTTTCTCAAATACAAAACAACAAAACACAAAACAATACTTTATGGTGACTGGTTGAATTCTTGCAGGGAGCCCAGGAGGTGGAAACTTTCGGGATACTTCCCAGATGTTACTAGTTTCCAGGCGCTGCCTGAGGCAAGTCACTGGTATTTGTGACTCATTCAGTAGAGGAGACCCTCTGCTCAAATCCTCCTGCATTCAGAATGCACACAGGACAGGAGAGGCCCATCCCACCCCCTCCCCACTCCAGCTCAGGCTCCTAATCTCTGTCCTCCCACACCTGCGTTTAGGGGAGGCTGAACCTTTGCCTCCTTGCCAGGGCCTTGGTACCCCACTGGGTTACAGGGACCTGGGGGATCTGGCAGCCATTTCCTTGAAAACAGAAGCATCGATCAGCCAGCGAGCATCAGGGAAAGCAAATGACTGCATTTTGCGCCAACAGAAATGTGAGCTATCAAGAGAAATTGGGTTGGGGCATTTATATCTGTCACACAGAGACTGGCAGTCTCCCAGTCTCCAAGGAGCTTTATGACACAATTGACAATGGTATTAATGTTATCTTTTTAATCTGAGTAATTGTGACATGTCAGCATTGAAAGATTAGGTTCACTCAGGAACCCCTGTGCCCCTATGACCATGGCAATGGCACAGAACCGTGCCTGGGAGACTAGAGCCTCAAAAGGGCTTTCCATGGAAATCAGAAGCAAGGTAAGCTCAGGACAGAAAGCTAGGAGTGAAGGCTGGCAGCTCCTGAGTGGCCTTGGCCCGGACACTGGGGGATGGGCATCAAGACCACAGGCTCTTCCCTCAGTATCAAGATAAAGTTTAGGACAAACAAGTCTTGCTCAGGACGCACAGATGACTGAGCCAGCACACTCCAAGCAAGGAATTTGGTGTCCGTGTAGAACAGGCAAGCTGGCTACCAGACTGGTCCCTTACCGAGTGGAGCAAAGGTTAATTAAACACATCTCGAACTCTGTTCCTGCCTGGATCTTTCCGAGTGCTGAGGAGAAATGAAGCATGAAGCTGCAAAGAATCCGGGCCGAGGCCGACTCAGGAGCTGCCTGCCTCCTTAGCTTTCCACTCAAGCTCCCAAAAGCCTCCTGGGCAGCTGGCTCTGGTCTGTCCACCATCCTCCTCTGGAAAGGGACAGAATTCACCTCTCTATCCTGGCCTTCTGGCTTCCACCCTGCCCCACTTCCTTCATCCAAGAGCAGCCCCTGCAGGGAAGCCTGAAAGGGCCACACTGGAGACAGCCAGGCTGCTTTCATTAAGGAGCCAGAGGCAGCTCCCCGGGGGCAGCCCAGTCTTGATTAAAACCAGACTTTCACAAGTGCCTTCCCTGGGTTCTCAAAGGTCATGGGGTCTGCAAATCCATGTCAGTTTCTGCAGCTCCCAATTCGCATTCTGAACACTCCAGGTCTTAAGTGGGTTCCAATCATCAATGAGAAACTGCAAACTGACATTTCCAACCATTGAAAGAAATAAGTTTATTCTCAGCAAACACCAGTTTCCATTGAAGGTGGTAGGGGAGGAAAGTCCTCAGGTCTGAGAACCTGACTCGTGTGTGTGTGTGTGTGTGTGTGTGTGTGTGTGTGTGTGTGTGTGTGGTGTGTGTGTGTGTGTGTCTGAGTGTAGGCTGTTCCCCAAGCCCCAAAGTCATTTAGTAAACAAAAGGCCACAGGGAGGACAGGAGTTGATCTGCATGAGACCATGGGGGTGGAGGGAGGCAGCAGACACCATGGAGTTGAGGTCCCAGGCACATCCTGTTTTCAAAGACTTCAGAGGAGGCTTAACTCTATAATACATATATTCTTTTTGTTTGTTTGTTCTGTTTTTCTGAGACAGGGTTTCTGCGTGTACCCTGGCTGTCCTGGAACTGGCTCTGTAGACCAGGCTGGCCTCTGCCTCCTGAGCAGCCTCACCACCACTGCCCAGTTTGTGTTAATTTTTCAAAACTAAGAATATCCCCAAAGGGCTGTAGTAGGTGAGCACACTGGCTGCTCTGGCAGAGGACCTGGGCTCGATTCCCAGCATCCACAGGGTGGCCCACAACCATTTTCAACTCCAATTCTGGGGGATCCAAAACCCTCTTTCTGACCTCCACAGGCACAAAGTACCCATGTGGTATACATATATACATGAATGCAAAAATACCCACATACATAAAGTAAATCTTATAAGTAAACAGAAAACTATCCCCCAAGTACCACTTACAGAGACCTTAATCAGAGTAGACAGACTCCCATGTCCCAACTCAGGACTCAGGACAGAGCTAGCCAACATACCCTCAGGCTCCATCTCCTAGCTTTCAGACAGTGGCAGAGTGACAGTACTCAGAACTGTTAGGGGTGTGCCTCAGCTGTTGCATGCTCACTCACAAAAACTGTGTCTATCCTAAACACGGCCAGACTTAACATTATCCTGAAACAATTTAGTACAACTATTTTAGTATGCTTTTTGAGATGGAGTCTTATATAGCTCAAGTTGTACTTGAACTCATGGTGATTCTCCTGCCTCAGGTTCCTGAGTGCTGGGATCCCACATATGAATCACCCCTCTGGCCCAAGCCTCTACACTGTAACCTAGAGATAACTCATGGCCTGAGGCAGCTGTGTGCATATGCTGTGTCATCGCTCTGATGTGGTGTGCACACGGGTGATCCCAGCACTTGAGGAGCTGACCTTCTCAAAGTCCTCAAGGACCCGAGACCTTGTCTCCTGCCTGCAAAAACAATCCTGTAACATTTTATATGACAGCCTCGAGTATCTGTGGATACTGGCATCCAAGCAGGGAAAGGCGTGGCTTCGATTGGGTCCCCCTTTAAAGACTGAGAGATCACAACCACATGAAGCCCGAGAGAGCAAGAAAGGAGCCGGTGGCAGACAGAGCTGCATGCTCACCAGCTAGCCTTGAAATACAGTTATCTGGTCCATCTGGGGACCTGATGCTATCAAAAACATCCTTAAAAGAGAACAAGGGCAGAAGTCTGGCCTGCCAGCTCTGAAGAGGGAGCATGGGTGTCTTTAGAAGTCAGTCTTGCCCAGAAGCACCTGAGCCATGGACCAGCTGGACATCTCAGTTTCCTGCAAGACGATAGCTGTGCAGCCTGAGTCACAAGTGACGGGCAGGAGCAGCCATGCTATCAGCTGACAGTGCACTTCCTGTCTGCCTTGGAATCCTAGCATCACACCAGCACTAGCAGGTCATGCTGCACTGAGGTAACTGCGATCCCAACAGTAGACTCTAGGAGTCTACAAGGAAAAGGCTCTTGGGAGAGGTCACCTGAAAGCCCTTAGGTCCAGGACTGCGCAGGTCAGACTGTCACATGTCCTCAAGAAAAGTAGGTGTCCATAAAGACGCATGGCCTGAAAAACAGACCACATCCAGGACAAAGCTGAGTGTTTAAAATTTATTGACGTGATTTCCCATAAGAATTACGGCCCAGAAGCATTCAACTGTGTCACCTCCAAATAGGCATGTACCCTGGGAGACTCCCGATGTTCATCCAAGCTGCTCCTGGACTCAAGTTACAGGAATCGAATTCCAGCTCCAAACTGGACACCATCACAAATCCTAAAAAGAAAAAGAGAGGTCAACAGGGTACTCCCTATATCATCAAGAGGCTCTGTAGCTACCACAGTTCCCTGGGCTAATAAGAATTAGCCCCTGGAGAAAGCCGAAAAGAAAGAAATAGAGCCTAAGACCCTCTTGCTCCATCCCACCCAAAGGTACATTGTCCTGGTGTCAGGACGGGAAGTAGAACCAGGAGGCCCACATGTTGGAGCTAGCCCAGAATTCAATATTGTCCTGGGCCTCACAATGACCCAGCAACCTAGCCTCAGAGAGTCCAGCCACCAGCCAGCCCTGTTTCTGACCCATGATGACACAGTGACCACAGGTGTGCTCTCTGGAGAGCTTAGCTCTAGGGTGTCCTGTGTGGGCCTTCTCAGGATTGGCTGCAGGCACCAAACACCCAGTTCTGAGTGCTGTGCCCCACTGGCATGTCGAGACACAGGTAAATGGCAGTGGTCACACTGCCCTGCTGGGGAGCCCTCCTGATTGGAGGAAAGCTGTCCCCCTGAAGGCTGAGGATCTCCTGTGTACCTGTGCCCTCAGCCTGGGCCTACGCAGCCAGTTTCATATTCTAAAATATGAAACTGATCCACAAAAGGGACCACAGCTGCTTTAGAGAAACCCCCAGAGAAGCTTCTTCAGAGAACACCCAGCCCTGCTACCACAACTGTAAACAACTCAAAGATGCTTGTACTGTGACACACATAGCACAGAGCAATGCCTGTGATGAGTATTCGAGGTAGCACCCAGAGTTACAGGACCGGGACCCTTCAGTCCTCTGCAGACCCTGCTGGCCTCCTTGGCTTCTACCCCTAGGCCAGGTGCAGGCTGCCTTCCTGGCCCATGGTGCCAGTGCTCACCCGTATATCAGCCCCAGCAAGGGTCATCAGAAAAGTCCACTGATGCCTGCTCTTAACCCTCAAAGCTCTTCATCCTGGGTGGTGTGCTAGGTGTGGGGAATAGCTCTCATGGGCCCGAACAGAGCCCTTGACAGGCACTGAGAGGAAGACACCAATGCGGCTGAAGAGAGAGGTGAGGCGGGGGAGAGCGGGAGGAGGCACACTTGTGAGCAGCCATTCCCCCCGAGGCCCCAGCAAGCCCACATTCTCTGTCCCATGCTACACCCTCCCCCAGGACAGCTGTTCCCACAGTCAGGATGCCCTCCTCAGCTGCAGGGATGGTGTCCTTCCTACAGCTCAAGGAGCGGCTGAAGCAGCCTGACTCACCGCACCGGGTCTCCAGAGACCTAGTCTGAGGAGTCACGCTGTGACAGAACACTCAGGTCCCAGAGAAGACTGCGCCAGAAATCATTCAGGACAGAAGTCAGAACACTTCAAACTGCCACCCTTTTGTAAAGGCCGTAGATCACAGATCACCTGGTTTAACCCTGGGGGTGAGGCTACGGACACTGTTCACCTGCCAACTTCCTAATTTTACAAACTAGATAACATTGAGGTCATTTCCCTCAAATGTTATCAAATTCCACTCTTGCCCACAAAGCTGCAAACCAAACCACACTAGGGAAGTTACTTCGATGTCAAGGCTGACACTGGACAGCCTTCACTACCCACAGCAAACACCAGCCTGCCACCATCACAACGGCAAACAGCGACCAGGCAAACCCTGGCCAGGGTCTTCCCCTACTTCAGCACAGCAGACTTCTTCCTTCTGAAGGCTATGTTCTCAATTTTTGAAACATGGTTCTCGGATTTAACTAAGAGAGAGGCGCAGCTGAAGGGTCCTGAGCTGTAAAGAACACTTGCTAAAGGGCCAATTAACAAGAAGCTCAAAAGCAAAGGAACTGCTTGTGCACACTGCCATCCTGTGGCTGCTGTCAGTATTACAGCAGCATAAGCCACACGAGGTGAGCGTTCAGAGATAGCGGCAACTGCTGTTGGCACTGGAGCCCAACACATCCCAAAGTACATGTCCTGTCCCCAACACAGTCTGTGAAGGCAGCTGGCCATAGCTCTGACCCAGCTCCACCTACGTGGTAGCTGCACAGACAGAGCTAACCCAGGCTGAAGGCTGAGGCAGCTCTTGAGAAGGCATCTACTGTGTACCAGGGACCGACTGTGCAGCAGGGACCTGGGGACATCCACCCTCCTCTCCTCACTGCACTGTGAAATCAGCAATGTGGCATGTCAGACTGCAGGCAGCAGGCGTGGTGGACAGAGGACACTAAGAGACAAGAGGAGTAGGCCAGTACAACACAGCAGTGATGGGAGTGACAGGCACCGCCGCCAGACCACACAAGAGCAGAGCGCTGCCTGTCCAAGCCTTCTATTCTCTGCATGGGAAACGACCCAGAGTAGCTACGGAACCTATTCCAGGCCCTACCACGAGGCAAGGTGACATCTGGCCTGTGGCCCCTAGGAACTATCTATCTTGGAATGGGCCCTGTGAGAGGTTGTGAGCTTCTGTAGAGTACCCAGGCGCTTGCACTGCCTCCCTGTCCGCAGGTAGCCCCATGGAAGCCGGCACAGTGGCCCGGCATCAGCCTCCGGCCAGCATGTCCTGACTTCTGACTTCCAGAGCTGTATCATTAAAGTTTCCTGCTCATATAAATCCCTCTGGGTCTCCAGACAAGGCCTACAAGGTAATGTAAGAGATGGGGGTCTCTCTATAACCCTGAATGGCCCTGGGCCTAACCCACCCGTGGAGCACGACCACTGCTCCATCCATGTTCGTGGGTAGAGTCCTCCGGCCCACAGCAAAGCTGTGGCCAGCCCCAGGCCAGTGTTGGCACAGGGAAGCTCTCTCCTGCTTTACACCTCCAGCAAGCAGGGTCAGGACTTCCCACTGGTGCACTCCCAAGTCAGAGCTGCAGTGCTCCAGGGAAGCAGTGGTCATCTCCCTCTCCCCTCCAACTAAGAGAGCTCCACCGAGGACACATGCTCTTGTGTTTTAGTTGACAATCCAGTCTCTCACTGAAGTGACCATCCCGGAACAAACTGCAACAGAAGCTCCACAGAGCTGCAGAGCTGACAGCGGCCCCACACACCTGTCACCCCGCTGCACACCCATAGGAATGCAGTAGTTCAGCTCCAGCCGAGCGATGTTGCCAAGTCGGAGGACGATGCCTGCTCCATAGGACCAGCGGATGCATTCAGCTAGCTTCCGGATGTGGGCTCTGGGGCCCTCACCTGAAACAGCAAAGCTGGTGAGCAGATGTGTGGCTCCCTCCCTGGCAGGGCCCCTTACAGCTGGATCTAGCTAGTGAAGACAGGTATGGGGCTGGTATCTGCACCCCACTCTCCCAGAGACAGCTGAAGGCTTCAGTTCTCTGGGTCTGGCTGCCCTGCCCCCCTTTGTCTAGAAGAGCAGCTGGGAGGCACTTACCATGCCTCTGAGCCCAAGACACGTGCTCTGTGAGCATCCTCCAGACAGAGCTGTGCTGAGCACTGGGCCCTAATGACACCGGCAGCACTTGACGCTTGTTTGTGGGGTAAGACGCAGCCTCCTCTTTATATAATGGCATCATAAGGGACAGCACCATCCTGTGTCAGGAGGACACACGGCCGGGGTAGACTCACCATAGTTGAGGTTGCACAGGTTGCCCGCATTGAGGAAAAAGTGAGTTCTGAAAAGCTCTCCGAAGCCACCCTGGCCTGGCCGGAAGGGCAGTGGGGTGTAGAGGTGCAGGCCCCCGGCCCAGTACGCCTCCCCGCCCAGGTAATCTCCTACAGAAAGAACATAGAATCTGCTGACTCAGCACTTAGAGTTCCTGCTTTCAGTTCTGCTCCACAAACTATGAGGGCAAGCCCGGCCTCCCTGCTTTTCAGGGTCCTTCCTTAACGCTGCCACAGCTGAGGAGCCAGGGAACCACAAAGGAACAGGCTGCTGCCTGCCCTGTCTACAGGGCCAGGAGTGAAAGAGCAACCTGCTCCTCCTCTACCAGTGGCCACACAGCCTCCCTGATTTCACCATCGAGACGGTGTCTGAGTCTACACTTCTGGAGCTGCCAGAACCCAAGCTTTCAACCCAAACCCCTGGTTTCAATGATGAAGGCCAGGCCTGGAGAAAAGCTCCTTTCGGAGTCAGTCACTGGCTCAAGTTACCCAGGAGAGGGAAACTGCTGGGGCAGCTTTCTTATCTGAGCCAGCAGCCTGTGGCTACTCCACTCCCATACTCAGGGAGGGGAGTGTCTGGCCTCTGTAGCCTTGCCCTCCTCCCTTTCCACTGCCCCTCCGGGGCTCTGCTAAGTGGCTACCCTCCCTGCCTCTGGGCTCCTGCTCGGAAGGCAGAAAGCTTCAGTTCTCTTAATTCCATGTTGGTCACCAACAGGGAAGGGATGTAAGAAAACAGAAAGGCAAGGGTTTCTGGGAGACTGCTAAGCAGTACAGCATGTGTGAATGTGGGCAGCACGAGGGCTGTGAACCTTGTGGAACCTAGGGGATACCAGCTGAGCAGCCCTGTGAAATGCTGCTGTCAATCTACCAATGTATTCCAGATGCATCCTGTGTCACTTTGGAGATGTGTATGAGAGCTGGAGGGGTGACTCCTGTTAAAGCCTAGGCTCACGGCCAAAAATTTCTATGACAGCCAAGCCATTGGTGCTACACACCTTTCATCCCAGCACTCAGGAAGCAGAGGAAGAGAAACTATGAGTTTGAGGCTAGCCTGGTCTACAGAGTGAGTTCCAGGATAGCCAGGGCTAAAACATCAAAAAAAAAAAAATATATATATATGTGTGTGTGTGTGTGTGTGTGTCAGCATGTATGTCTTTGTGCACCGCGAGTGGGGTGACTACAGAGACCAGAGGAAGACAATCAGACCCCAGAACTGGAGATACAGATGGTTGTGATCTACTAGGTGGGTGCTATACAGGTCATCTGGAACAGTCAGTGCTTGTAACTGCTGAGCTGTCTCTCCAGCCTCTCATTTGTCATTTGCATCTAAACAAAACAGGGCTAAATTTAACCTACTTCTACCATTCCTGAAAGTAACTGAGTAGCAAATCTGTAGCTGCTTCATTTTCATTACTTTTTATTTGTTTTTAACTCTCTGAGAGCTAAAATTTTACTTGGCATGCCTGATTTGAAATCAATGTGCAAATGTTTTCGGGCCCAGAAAAGGATAGGAACCCCACAGGAAGTCAACAGAGTCAACTAACCTGGACCCTTGGGGTTCTCAGAGACTGAACCACCAACCAAAGAGCATACAAGGGGTGGACCTACCCCTCAACCCCCAACACCTGTGTAGCAGATGTGCAGCTTGGTCTTCACGAGGGTCCTGAACAAGTGGAGCGGGGGCTATCCCAAAAGCTGTTGCCTGTCTGTGGGATATGTTCCTCTAGCTGGGTGCCTTGTCTGGCCTCAGTGGGAGAGGATGTGCTTAGCCTCAAAGAGAGTTAAAGTGCCAGGGTGGGGGGCATACCCAGTGGGGCACCCATCCGCTCAGAGATGGGGAGGAGAGATAGGGGAAGGATTGTGGGAGGGGATGACTGGGATGGGGGCAGTGAGCAGGATGTAAAATGAATAAGTAAAAAAAAAAAATAGAAGATTTTATATTATCTTGGCAAAAAAATAAAAATACTAAAAAGTGAAGGAAAATATTCATCAATAAAATTTAAATTGTATAAAAAAAGCAGATGTTTTCAGGATAACTTCTGAACTCAGATTACAGCAATAGTAGATAGAGATACTGTCTGTTTAAAACAAACAACAAATGTTAAGAAGTCACCTTATCCACAGTCACAGAGCTATAGCTTCTACCTGGTGAGACAAATTATCCCGCAAACCTGCAAATGTCTCTGGGAGCAAAGACATGGCAGATGAAGCCTGCTGAGTCTTCAGAGAAGTGGATACATCGTAGGGCACAGGGCTACTTGGATTGCTGGGTTTTGAGCAAAGGTTGCCCACAAAGAGCAGGAGCTGGCATGGCCGCTCAAAATGGTCCTATTCTTACACACAATGAATGGAAGTCCTGATGCTTGCACTGTTGCAAACTGCTATTCCCATTGCCCCGCCCCTCACAGATGGCAGCCCATAGAGGAGGAAAGGACTGCAAGTCTCCAAGTCTTAGCTCACTGACCTTCACTCTGGGGTCCAATGCTGTGCATGCTAAATCCTCGGACACTCGTGGGGCCTCCCAGGTAAAACCTGCAGCAAAGTGACAGGTGTCATTTCATTAGGTAAAGATCCACAAGACCCACAGTAAGTGAGGCAGCAGCAGGGTCACAGCTGGTTTGTATAGCATAGTCTGCACACAGCAGAACACCAAGAGAGGGGAGGAAAGAGAGCATGTAACACCTACCGAAATCTACCTGGAACCCAACAGCAGCTCCTTCTGGAGATATGAGCGATCAGACACAACAAAGACACTTAGAGGAAGGTGAATGAGGACCATCCCTTATAAAGGGAGGCAGCTGTCTAAGAGACCCGCCATGAGGTTCACTCCCAACCACATGTGCCAACCACACAGCCTCCCAGCCACACTGGGTTAGAAGGCAGGTCCAGAGGGGCCAGGAGACACCAGACACAAACAGACCACATGAGTGTTACTTTGGTTTTCTACAATGAATTCTACTGCATTCTAACTGCTAAGGATAGAACCAGGGCTTCCCTGAAGGTTAGTCAACTTCCTCATAACCTTAACCTCCTGCAACGCTTTTTAATTGAGGGAGAATGTTCTAATTTTTTACGTATGCCTTTATCTGTATCAACCTATATCCATCACTATCTATATAGATATATTTTAGAAAAGGCCTCAAACTCAAGACAGAGCTGCCTCTGCTCTCCCAAGTGGTGGGATAAGGATGCAAGACCCCTCCTAGCTGGGTTTAATTTTCAATGGTCATCCATATGAAAAGCTATTCTGAGCCTTGGGAGAGCGGTCCAATAGGTTTCGACAACACATAGGGAGCAAGGCCCCTGCTACTCATACAAACTTGGGAGAGCTCAGAAACCCATAAATACTTTTACTGTCTGACTGCTAAGCAAAGCTTTCCTGCATGGTCTGCTGGCATTAATTAATAATACATGCAAACAGTAAGGTCTGTTCTCGGGTGGTTTCTTAAAGGTTTATTTATTTTTATTTTATGTGTATGCGTGTTCTGTCTACATGTTTGTTTGTGTACATGTATGGCTGGTGCCGGAGGAAACCAGAAGAGGGCCTTGATCTCCTGGAACTGGAGTTATATGTTGTGATCTCCCATGTGGGGTCTAGATCCCTGGCACACACAGGAACCAGATGCATAACATCCAATTGCAATCCCTGCACTCCTATAGTGAGATGGGAGGTGGACAGTCGCCTGGAAGGCCGCGCCAGCCAGGTGCGGCACAGTAGCAAAATCAAGAGACCTTGACTCAAAATAAGGTGGAAGATGAGAACCAACCTCCACATATGTACCATGGCATATGTGAACCTGCACACATGTATGCACTCATGCGTACACACACACTCACGCACAAAACGTTACTTTTAAAGACTTTCTCATGACTCAGTGAACAATCAAATCACTCTTTGATCTCTTTATAACATTTAACAATTGGGAAGACAAGTTTCATATAAAACACAGCATGTAAGACACAGCTCACTCTCTGTATATAAGCACACTCCTACCTGACCAAAAGGAGCAGACCAGAGTGAGGCAGGCTTACCCTCCGGGAGGACTAAGCACCCTACTTTTTAAACATGCCTTTATTTTCAATTCTATAAGTACTAACCAAATTCTTTCATAATAATTAAAAAAAAAAAAAGAAAAAGAGGAAAATTTTTTTTTTATTTTTCGAGACATTTTCTCTGTACAGTTCTGGCTTTGCCTCTCAAGTGCTGGGATTAAAGGTGTGCACTATCATGCTTGGCTGAGAAAAATGTTAATACAATAAAGTTTCACAACAAAAAGCAACAAAGTAGGGCTGGAGAGATGGCTCAGCAGTTAAGAGCACTGACTGCTCTTCCAGAGGACCTGAGTTTAAATTCCAGCAACTGCATGGTGGCTCACAACCATCTGTAATGGGATCTGACGCCTTCTTCTGGGCATCACTGTGACACTGTACACAATAAAATAAATAAATCTTAAAAAAAAAAAAAGAAAAGCAACAAAGTCTAAGTACTGGGTACTTCAAATCTCATTCCACATGAAAATCCAGAGCACTGTGAATACTGCTCCCTCTGTAAAAACAAAACCACCCAGAGTCCCAGAGGATGCTGTGGGGAGCTTCTGCCGCACTGACCTGTCAGCAATGCTGGATGGCTTGTCACCGATGGGCACCAGCATTCCACCCCAGAGAGATGTGGAGAACACCTGTGCAAGGGCAAATACAAATACAGTGTTTCTTTCTGTCTCCGTGAGAGCCAGCAGGAAACTGGTTCTACTCTGCATGCCTTTGAATGCCCTTGGCATGCACAGTAGAGCAACAGCAGGGCCATAGGGGACCAGGGGCAGTGAGGTTGAAGAACTCAGTCAGAGGCCACTTTAAACTCCATCAAAGTCACACAGAAGTGCAGCAAGGACTTAGCTTGCATTCCTGCCAGGACAAAACCCTCTTGCATGAGAAGTCAGGCCCACAGGACTGATAGAGGACAGCCAGAACACTAGATATGAGATCCTACAACTGCTCAGACCCCAAAACGTGAGGGGACTGTGTATGCGCCCCTCAGGCTGAAGGTCTATATGAGCTACACCACTCCCACAGTCATACAGTGTAGAGACCTCATGTGTTGGACTGGCCAGTCCTTATAAACTCCATAGTTGCTCAGAGGGTCTTTTTCTAGATGCTTTCGTGGGAAGGGCTAAAGAAGGAAGAGAGTGGGCAGAGCCACACAACACACAGGACAGTCCTCACATGGCAATAATGGGGTGACATCTCCCAACTTCACCATTGTCTAATGCACACTCATGTGCCCATCTGTCTGTATGGCATTCTGGAAGCCACACACATGGTAAGGTCACCTTTGTAGTATACTTTGGAAGGCTAAGGGAAGGCCTCTAGTCTGAAGGCTGGCCAGACTGAGCTAGCTTTTTAGCAGGACACCACCCTTCAGACATTTTCAACTAACATTAAGTTTCCTAGGAAGTGCCACCATTGGGAAGTCTACTTGGACATTTCCGACACTGGGCCCAGTGATGACAGTGGGGGCTGATGGGGAGGTGGGAGATGGGACGTATGCTCTGACTGCTCATGGAGATGATTCCACTCCTGATCCTCCTCTGGGATGAGGCCTGTCTCTGCTTCTTAGAGACAAGGACCTCAGCAGACTCGCACCCCTCCCCCAGCTCTTCCTGAACACACCACTAGCTCCGGCCTGGAAGGCAGCTCGCTGTGCTCCTGAGAAGAACCAGGTCCCGGCTTTACTTCCTTCTCGCCCCACACCTGCTCCTACTCAGAGGCATCTACACTCCATGTTCCCACCAGCAGAGAAGGTCCCAGTTCCTTCCTGCCAGAGCCAAACCTCCTGAGCCCTCGACCCTCTTCCTGTCCACTCATCCTACCATTCACCTATCTATTCATTCTGTTACCCACCCTTTTGTTTGTCTGTCCATCCATCCATCCATCCATCCACCCACCCACCCACCCACCCTCCTTACCCAGCCCCACCCCCTCACTGCTCCTGGATGCCTCAAAGGAGCCATTCTGCTGGGTTTGTTCCCAGTTCTCTCCTTTCCATCTCTCTATCTATCTCTCTCTCTCTCTCTCTTTTTTTTTTTTTTTTTTTTGGTTTTTCAAGACAAGGTTTCTCTGTGTAGCCCTGGCTGTCCTGGAACTCACTCTGTAGACCAGGCTAGCCTCGAACTCTCAAACTCAGAAATCCGCCTGCCTCTGCCTCCCAAGTGCTGGCATTAAAGGTGTGCGCCACCACCGCCCGGCCTCCTCTCCATCTCTTAAAATAAGCATTTTATTTTCAAGTGGCCTCAGGTTGTCAGAGGTACAGTCCAGCTCCCAGGGTTCTTCCACAGCTGGCCTCACGTCAAAGCTGAGGGGCCACCCTGCTCCTCACTGCCTGATGAACTCAGACACTAACTGCTCTGAAGCCTCTCCTCCTGTCAGGTGGATACTGCCTGCACTAAGCCTCTTCTCCACTCTCAGCCTGCCCCAACTCTGCCCGTCTCAGCCACCAGTCCTCCTGTTCTCTTTGAGTTCCACCCTTGTAGTGGTTTCAACAGGCTCATGGGTTTGAATGCTTGGCCATAGGGAATGGTACTTGTAGGAGGTGTGGCCTTATTGGAGGAAGTATGTCACCGTGGAGGCGGGCTTTGAGGTCCTAGAAGTTTAAGATATGTCCAGTGTGGTACAGAGTCTCCTGCTGCTGCCTGCAGATCAAGATGTAGAACTCTCTGCTCCTCCACCACCAAGTCTGCCTGCAAGCTGCCTTGCTTCCTGCCATGATGATAACGAACTAAAATCTCTGAAAACTGTGAGCCAGCCCCAAATTAAACGTTTTCTTTATAAGAGTTGCTGTCACAGAGTCTCATCACAGCAATGACACCCTAACTAAGACAACCCCCTTACTCCCACCTCTTGATATAAGCACCTAGACTGTCTGGCAGCCAGGGCGCAGGTGGGTGAGCACACAAATGGGTGGGTAAGAGAATGATTAGATACTATGTGGATGGAAGAAGGATGCGTAGACAGGTGGGTGGACCCATGTGTAGACAGATGAGTGGGTAGGTGGCAAATGGTCTTCTACAGAATACGTACAGTAGAGCCCCCCCTCCAACCCCCAGGCCGGAAGATAAGAGAAGGTGGCTGGAGACATGCCTGTGCCAAACTCCTAAAAACCTGGAGCAGGAGGCCACATGGACGATAACAAAAGGACGTTACAGCAGCAGGAGGCAGGTGAAGAACACAACAGGTGCCTGTGAAGGAAGAGCCCCACCCCTCTGACAGAGCCTGTGAGCGGGTGGGTGGAGGGGCGCTACTCTAGAGTACAAGCTCACTGGGAAGCAGTGGGTACGGTGTGGGTAGGGGAGCTTGGCTGGGGGATAGGGGGAAAGGGCACGGGGAAATCAGAGCATGGCTCCACACCACAGGCAGGGGCAGCAGAGTCTGAGCAGTGCCAGCAGAGAGGAAAGGATGATGGAATTCTGCGGTACCTTAGAGTGAGAACCCAGTGCAGCCTGACAGGCCACACACATGCTGACTGGAGGGCCTTAAGTCCTATGGGTTAAAGCACCATAGCACTGGGCTAATGCCAGTGCTCTGGGCTCAGGGTTCCACAGGCACAGCGTAGGCCGCAGACTCACCGAATCCAACGCGAGCGGCTTATTCAGCTGAAGCTCAAAGTCTTCTTTGATGAAACTCACATCCCCTCCCGTGTAGCCTGCCAGCTCCTGGGGAAGAAGCCACAGATCATAGGGACACAGGGGATACGACGTACTACCTTCCCCACGAAATGACAGTGTTGCTGTCCGTGCCTGTCTGAAGGCACTGGCCTGCTCAGCATCTGAAGAGTGAGCTGCTTTCATGACAGGAACATTTTACATAAAAATCTTACCACTAATCACTCCCCTAAAAATGAAGATTGGGCACTGTCCTGGCTGGTTTTGTCAACTTGACAAAAGTTAGTCATCAGAGAGGAAGGAGGCTCAGTTGAGGAAATGCCTCCATGAGATCCAGCTGTGAGACATTTTCTTAACTAGTGATCAATGCGGGAGGGCATAGCTCATGGTGGGTGGGGCCATCCCTGGGCTGGTGGTCCTGGGTTCTATAAGAAAGCACGCTCAGCAAGCCATAAGGAGCAAGCCAGTAAGCAGCACCCTTCCATGGCCTCTGCATCAGCTCCTGCCTCTGGTTTTCTTGTGTCCAGATTCCTGCCCTGTGTGAGTTCCAGTCCTGACTTCCTTTGGTGATGAACAGCAATACAGAAGTGTAAGCTAAATAAACCCCTTCCTCCCCAACTTGCTTTTTTATCATGGTGTTTCGTCACAGCCATAGAAACCCTGAATAAGACAGGCACCCCAGGGTCCTGCTCACCACAAGCACTACAAGCAGCAGGGTGGACCACCACAGCCACAGTGTCACCCAGGTCCCCCACACCTGCAGGCCAGCTGACCATATCACCTCTAAGGCACTAACCCTGCTTCCCACAGGCACCAGCACCAGCTCTGCCCTCAACTGGCCTTGCAGGCCTCTGCATGACAGTCTTGCCTACTGTTGGTCCTCCAACTCTGTTCCTACTGTCGTGTGACACCACCAAAGAAGCTGCCATGTCAACCACTGTGGCCTTGGGGGAAGACACAAGATAAACTGCAAGGAACGAGGGCCGATTCTGAGGCCAGCAGCCCTAAGAGTGGAGTCAGCAACCCTTGTAGGCAATTCTAGAGTGGTTTTTCCTATCTGTGATGGTGTGATGGAACCCAGGGCCTCCCTTAGGTGGCTCAGTAGACGAGTGCACTAGTGTCACACACTACTGGATGAGTTTGCAAACTCCAGGCAAAGCATTGTGTTAACCTGTGCACAGTGCACCGGCTCCCCAGTGAGGAGCTGTGGTGAGACGCTACCTGGTTGACTTTGAGCAAGGCCCCTCTTCTTGGCAAGATAGATGAATTCCGAGAGTCGATGACCATGGCGTGCTGAAAGAAATGAGTGCAAGGCATTCTCATTTTCACGGCCGGCAGCTCCAAGGACAGTAACACTTGTTGTGCACTGAGGTCTGGGCTGTGCTCATCATGCCCACAGCCCTGTGCCTGTCCCTGTTCTCTCAGGACAGCTTAAAGTTGAGATGGCACACCAAGCGGCACCAGAGAGTGTCCCACCGACGCCGACCAGCTTCGTTCCCTCAGAGAGCCCAGCAGCCACCCTAGTCACTGCATTTCATTTAATCTCTGTTTGCACTGATGTTACCTAACAAAACTATTAAGAGGCAGTAGATGTGGAGCTAGAGGCCATTGTCCCAACCACCCAGTCTCACTGGCACCTCAGCCAGCCTCACTTCAGCAGAGACTGGCCAATGGGTCACAGGGCTGTCAACACACTCCACACAGAGAGCAAGTCCTACCGAGAGAGACGACTTCAACGAGTGTCCGCTTTCCTTCCGCACAGCAAACGACGCAGTCCTCGAGAGGCAGCCCAGCTCCCGCCACACACCCTCCCACTTGACAGTGTGACTAGTCTTCCACAGTGGAAACTGTAACAACACGGAAGGAAGCCTTGTTCTGCTCCGTCCATACTGGAACAAGCTGATGTAAACCATCCTTTAAATTGGGCATCTCTGAGGAACACACTTGATAATCTCTTTCCTCAGCACCAGGGACGATCAGGCCAGTGCTGGCAAGTGATCTTCCCCCAGCCTCAGGCCCAGCCTGAAGACAACAATTTTAAATGAGAGGAACTAGGGAAGGAGGAGGAACAGAAGAGAACTCATATAGGCAGAGGGGAAGGACTGTAAACTGAGTCAGAGCAGTGCTGTTCTGAGCTGCCGGTGAAGGAACAGGACCATACCCAAAAGCTGGGAGTGACTCTGTCAACAGCGGGTATCAGTCTCATCACAGTAAGACACACACGACATGGCACACCCACCCAGCCCCCATGGCTAGCTCAAGGCAGGCCCAGTGAACTTTCACTTGGATTGCATCAGACCCAGAAGAATGAGAAGACCAAGCCACATGGGGCCAAGGGTTTTCTTTCCACAGTCAAAGGGAACAAAGGCCAGGTCCAAGGAACCCAACCTCCTGCCTCTCAGCAGGTTTGCCCAACAGCCTGACCCACAGCCTGCCCTAGACTCTAGCTCAGAACACCATTCTCTCTGAATGTCATGATGTCAGGGAGCTCTGAGACTAGCCGTGACTTCACTAGCAAAGACACCTGGTGCCAAGCTCCCCAGAGAGCTCTGCAGTCAGAAGGCCTGGAGGAAAGCACAAGGCCACTGAGGATGAGGAGACACCCAACTGGAGCCCAGGCCACACCCTTGGTGTGCAGGAGTGTGGCCCAAAAGTGTCCACCTCAGCACACAGGGACAGTGTACAGGCCTGCGGAGCCTACAGAGAGTCAGGGAGCAGCAGTCACTCTGCATGAGGGCCCCAAGACTCATGTTTCCTCAGATGCCTACAGAAAGTGAAGCTTCCCAATTAACTTCTTCTTTTTTTTTTTTTTTTTTTTGGTTTTTCGAGTCAGGGTTTCTCTGTGTAGCCCTGACTGTCCTGGAACTCACTCTGTAGACCAGGCTGGCCTCGAACTCAGAAATCCGCCTGCCTCTGCCTCCCAAGTGCTGGGATTAAAGGCGTGCACCACCACTGCCCGGCCCCAATTAACTTCTTTTCATGGACATAGGGCAGCTCTTAGAAAGCAAGCCACTTCCATAGGGCACTACACTGCTGTTTCCAGTGAGTGACTGTCAGGACTCACAGGGCAGGTGGCACAGCCTGACAGTGCCCAGTTACACTTAGGGCGACCTGAGACACAGCTGCCTTAAAGGCTGCACGCTGCATGTCTGTCCCCAGTGCACCCTCACCACCCCACCCCACTCCACACTCCAGCTCCTTTCACACCTATTGTCCCAGGTGGAAAGCACCGTGCTTGACTCTTTCAGGGTGTGCTCTTTGAAAAGATTAATAAAAGGGGATACCAAGGAGAAAGATGAGAGAAAGCACTGAGTGCCAGTCAGTCAGGAGCACAGATGCCACATGACCAGTGTGGATGCCAGCTCACTCCTTCCCCTGGTTACCTGCACCAGCTAGGGAGGAGGAGCTACAGAGAAGGCCACCAGGTGGTAACGTGTGCATTCACCCACTCATTTCCCTCCCTTGTCAATAATAAATTCACTGTCTGTGTACCCCCTACCCCCAGACCTAGGGTACTCACACTGTACTCAGCAGACACTCCTCTGTCTGTCTCCCGAAGTGAGCTCCAGGGGAACTGCCCAGTAACTTTATATAAGTTTACGGAGAAACTAGGAGGCAATGGGACAGAGCTTTAACAGTGAGTCACAGGGCTTGCACACAGCTAAACAACAGGCCCATCAGACTACCCGGGGGCTCATCCTCAGGACAGTGGCCTCATTTCACACTCCAGCCATCTACGTTAACATTCACACCAGGCGAGGGAGCGCAGGGACCTGCTCGGCTTCCTACTTTCTGTCGAAGTTCCCAGGCTGTGGCTTGAAGAACGACAGGCCGTAGGAGGTTTCTTTGGTTCCATAAGAGAACTGGAAAGTCACTTTCTCTGCACGTCCCAGAAGGTTGGGGAGTTTGAGGCCGAGTACCTAAGGGAGGGAAAGGATGAAGCCGGCAGGCACTGGACCAGTGTGAACAGGCTTTGTCTCTCACAGCACCCCACAAGGCTGACCAGGTGGAAGATGGCCACACTGAGCACCTGGGAAGCTGGAAGGCAGAGGTCTCCTGCCCCAACCCAAACCTCCCGACCAGAGCGCAGCGGAGTGTAAACAAGAGCATCCGCACGCCCGTCTGTCCAGGTACAAGGGTTATTACTGCTACACATGGCCTCCGGCTCACACTGACAGTTCTAGGGAGGCGGAAGGAAAACTGAACATCACACCAAGTCCATAAGCCGGCAGGTTCCAGAGCAACTCCCTGCCTCTCCAACAGGCACATCTCAGAGCTCACACTCAGAGCTCTAGACAGCGATGGAGCCATGCCCTACCATACTGCCTTCGTTGTTTCCGACCATGGTGTTGTAACTGCCCGTCAGTCTCCTCAGCTCCGTCACTTCAAAGGTGACATCTAATCCATTTGGCAGGGCATCGTCACCTAAAGAAGTAAGTAATAAAAGGCTCAGTATGGCTTGGAGGTAAAGGTACAATGCCTGCCAGGCTGGGTTCAAGTCCCAGGACCTACTGACTCCTGGAATTTGTCCTCTGAGTACCACATACATATCTACACACATACACATACTTGCACACATACATGCATACACACAAAACAAAACAGACCACTAAACCTAACACCAACTCCACTCCCTGTGCTGAAAACAGCCTCAGCTGGGAATGGGCCTACCACTCAGGAAGTCCTTGAAAATGTTCTGAGTCCATCCAGCCAGCATGAAAGCCCGGGACTCATTTGACAGTCAGGATTTTGTAACAGTACAGCTAAAAGTCCTCCATTCAGTGGAGTGTGAGCATGGTCTGCACTGGAGGTATCTACCTCACAACCCACCAGGGCCTGGGGTACTCTCTGCAGAGTGAGGCAAACCCCTGCAGGGCTGTGGTCCCAGAGGAGGAGGTAGATCTTGCCTTCCACCCAGGACACCTGCTGGGTGTTCCTGCTATATACCTGTGGGGAAGTCCATGTGGTCTCAACAGGCTGGGGTCAGGAGGCAAAGGTTGGGGGTGGGGGGAGCCTTGGTGCTGGTCTGGTTTTTATTTGTTTGTTTGTTTTTGAGACAAGGTCTCTCAATTCAGTCCTGGCTAGCCTAGAACCCACCACGTAGACAGAACTCCCAGTCTCTGCTTCCCGAGTGCTGGGATTGAAGGTGTGTACCACAGCAGGCCTCTATTTTCAACCCTTACCCTGTGACACGTGCCACTTCAACACCTCACACTCACAAGGTTCATTCGTCACGACTGTCAAGCACACACTCATAATTACCATGCCCACAGCTTACAGCAGGGTGAGTGACACGTAGCGTGGTGTGCACAATGACGGGTTTACAAAGCCCTAGGCTAGCCTCTGCTGTCAGGGCATTCTATGGTGCAGCCAGGGTAAGAGCTGAAGTCACAGAGGAGAGGAGTTGACCAGTGCAAGGCCGTTCCAGCAGGGACTGAAGAGCGTTGAACCAAGTGCCTACAAAGGCACTGAACTGACTGGGGAGGCGGGGCAGGCCAGAGTGCTTGAACTGTATCACTCAGTATGGGTCAGAGACAAGTTGCCTAAAAGACTCAGAGCCTCCACTTCATAAGTTAATGTACTTGAACGCTCCCCAGGTGCTCCCACTCTTATCTGACTGTGCTGAGCTTCCAACAAATTAAATCCCTGGCCCCGCCCACCCCTCTGCTGCAGTGTAACCCTCAGGTGCAGCTTTTGAGACGGCTAACCCTGAGACCTGCCTGAGAAACCTTTGGGTGCACTTTGCATCTAACCAAATGGTTGCTCTGTGACCCTGGAGGCTATAGGGTGGCATCAGAGAGACACTCATCCTTGACACCTACCATGACACGTGTCGATTAAAACATCCACTTGTCTAAAAATTCCTAGGCGAAGCAGTTTTTCCCGGGCTTCATGAGATCGCCGCATTACCTGGGAGAGGGACAGACGACAGAGAGTGAGCTCTCCTAAGACACGGGAGCACTGAGAGCCACGTGACCCATAAATGCTTGCACTGAGAGTTGTGCAGCAGGAAATGTCTGTCAAGTCCCAGGAGGAAGAGGTGAACCTGACTAAGACAGCCAGCAGCCAGCACAGGGAATGAGTGCCCAGACACAGAAAAGGCCAAGGATGGACAGGAAGAAAGGTGACAGTCAGGAAGGACACTGGTGACAAAGTGACAAAGAGCTCCTGGGAATGAGCAAAAGCTGAGAACCCAAAGGAAAATAGACACATCTCTGTGATCCCAGCACTCAGAAGCTAAGGCTGGAAGAGCTAAAGATAGAGGCCAGCCTGGGCTACACAGTGAGAGGATATCTAAACAAAAATAAATAAATAAATAAATAAATAAATAAATAAGGAAAACAAACAAAACAGGAGATGAATGGTGATAGATAGATAGATAGATAGATAGGTAGATAGACAGACAGACAGACAGACAGATAGAGTATTTGAGGCTGGTGAGATGCTCAGCGAAATATGGTGTTTGTTACCAAGCCAAGTTTGATCCCAGGGACATATCCACAGATTAGAATAATGAAACCACACTCTATGTCCAATGGATGTCAAGACCTTAGGGAACATGGCTTTCAGCTCTGGAGAGTGGATCTTGACCATCCCCCTGCGGGGGTGTGGAATGATGGATCTCCTTGGAGACCAATATTCTGACCCTTGAAGTGACAGACCACATGCCCTTTGACATAGCAACGCTACTTGTACCGTGCACGCTGTGACACAACAGTAAGACGCTGAATGTACAGCCATCCATGAGAGCCAAGCACTCAGTTTAGTAATGCCCATCCACAGAGAGACACAGCAAGGACACTAAGTGTTTGCAGTAAGGCTTCCCATACATGTACTAAGAGACAGGACTGTCCTCACAATGACAAAAGAGAATGTCAGCACTCCCAGCCACCTGGGTTCACCCTCATGTTAGACACACTTGGAAGAACCAGGAGGAGCCAAAGCTGGCCTCTGGGAATGGTCGAGCTGTGGTAAGGAAGCGTGCACATTCACACTAACAAGCTCTCCACCTGTGACCACTTACACCTCTATGTAACTGTCCTAAGACAGCACCTTCAGCTTAAACGCAAACTTCTGACTGCTGTTTTGCTAACACTACTCAAAGTTAGCAAAAGGAGGAGCCAGTGGACCGAGCCACAAGGATGCCATGGATGACCTCTACTGATAGGTCAGTGTGGTCCAAAGGCAGGACAGGAGGGAGCCACAGGATGGGCAATCTCCCACTATAGCAAAGCAAAGAGTCTGTGACCAACAGAGCAAGGGCCTGGGATGTGGACAGGGTGTCCACAGAGGATCCCAAAGGGCTCAGCAGAACCCAGGGACAGCGCTGATGCTGAGAGTCAGGAAGAGTGCAGGATAGGCAGGCGGGGTGGATGGACAGGGGTAAGGACAGCTGGAAGTCATGTAAATTGTGGGAGGCTCTCTCCAGGCTTGGGTCCCTCTGCAGTGAGAGGCTGGGGGCAGGGTTGTGGGTCTTGGATTCTTCAGAAGTTATAGGCAAAGTGTGCCACACAGAGAACAAACTCACCTCGATGAGGTTTTTAGCCTTAAAAACATCTCCGATTTCACAAATGATGATGTCATCCTTAGTCCGTCCAAGTCCATCAAAATGAACATGCTGAACCACCACCTAAATGTGACAAGGGAATAGAGGTCACCACGTGTGGCACAGGAAGCAGCTTGCGACTGTAGCCAGAGGTGGGGTCTGAGACAAAGGGCAAGGTCTTCTCAAGTATAGTAACCGTCTTACTCCTGACTTCTTTCTTTTTGAACTTTTACACGTATGGGTGTTTTCTTACAGGTATGTCTGTGGAGCACGTGAGTGCCTGGTGCCTACACAGGCTGGAAGACAGCGTCAGATTCCCTGGAACTAGAGTTATAGTTGGCTACGACCTGCCATGTGGGTGCTGGATATCCAAGTCCTCTGGAAGAGCAGCACTCTTCACCTCTGAACCATCTCTCCAGCCCTGCATTCATTGTTTGTTTGTTTGTTTGTTTGTTTTGTTGTCAGTCCCTGAACTCCTATTTTAAGATTTAGCCTTTGCCAAGTATGTACTGCTTGACAATAAATGAACGAGCTCTGGCCTCTCCAGCCAAACAACCCAGGATCACCCTAACAAGCTGTGAGGCCCAACCTCCTTAACCTGGGCCACACCCAGCCTTTGGCGTGGGATGAAGAACCTTGAGAGGTCACAAGGCAGGTAAAGAATGACCTTGACTCTTCTAGGAGAAAGGAACAAACAAAAGCTGCAAAGCTGGGGCTGTAGCTCTGTGGTAGAGGGGTGCTATCTGGGATGCTATCCTCTGCTGGTAATACACCTTTAATTTCATATCTATCTATCTATCTATCTATCTATCTATCTATCTATCTATCTATACATTCAAACATATATATGTATATAAACTTAAGCATAATTTGAGTCTATCTTTGAAAACTTTTTTTTAAAGATTTATTTATGTATTTTTATATATGTGAGTACATTGTTGCTGTCTTCAGACACACCAGAAGAAGTCATTGGATCCCATTACAGATGGTTGGGAGCCACCATGTGGTTGCCGGGAATTGAACTCAGGACCTCTGGAAGAGCAGTCAGTGCTCTTTAACCACTGAGCCAAATCTCCATCCCTAAAAAACTTTTGAAATTTTATTTTATGTATGAGTGTTTATCTGCATGTACGTATTTGTACACATGTGCAAAGCTGTCAGATCTTCTAGACTCTAGAATCTAGAGCTAGAGTCACAGGTGGTTTTGAGCCACCATAATGGGTAGTGGGAACCAAACCTAGGCCATCTGAACCATCTCTCCAACCATGAAAAACCTTTCGTTCTATTTTTTCAGCAGAAACAGAATGTGTTTCCCTAAACCAGCCCCATCAAGTGTCACCCAGGAGACACCCAGGAGAACCGGAGGAACAAGGCGCTGCTGTCCTCAAGTCAAGGTTCTCTATCTGCAACTGCTGACATGTCAGCTGCTTCACTTCTCCATGGGGGCTTACCAAGAGAACATTCCAGAAACAATATCAAGATGGTCCACAGAATACTCACATCTTTGTTTTCCAGGATTTCCTGTTTCGCTTCAGGTTCAACTTCCACAAACTCAGCTTCCTCTCCCAGTGCTCCAAAGTCAGGTCCGCTCGACGGGAGGGGCTCCAGACTCTGCAAAGGATGGAGGAACTTACAGTGAAAAGGAGCCAAGCCTCCACTTAAAGGTGGTGTCACGAAATCCAGCACAGCTGCTCCACTCAGTCAGAGTGAGGAGCTGGGGACAGGATGGGACACACAAGGAAGGCCAGTGTAGGCCAACGGGCAGGTGCAGGTCGTGAGGACTGTGCTTAATAAGCAATGTTCACTGGGTAACTAGTAAGTAAAGCAAGGATTTCAAAAAACCCTTGCATATGCTTGCCAGTGGGCCAGAAAGCAGGCTCTTCACACACGCAAATGCTGGCAGTGTCTACACCACCAAGCTACACTCCTAACCTTGGTTGCTCTTTTCTTTAGTTTTCTGAGATCAGCTTTCTCCTCATAGGCCCTGTGCAGCCAAGGCTCTCCTGAGCCTGCCCCTGCTTCCAAGTGGTAATATGAACTGTCACCACCTCAGAACAACACAAAGCCAACCATGGAGCACATGCCTATAACCCCAGCCTCAGACGGCTGAAGAAGATATCCTATCACTAAATAATCACAAGAGCAACTTCCTAACAAGCTTCTGGGGGCTGGGGTTGGATGAGCAGGGCTGGGAAGACTGGAAAACGCAATTACACATACATACTACACACATAACACAGTGCTTTATCTGTGTGTACATGGACCATGTAATCTGTCCCTGTGAGCGAACACTGGGACACTTAATGGCAGAGATTTCCAAGCATCCCTGAAGTGGACGACTCAGAGCAACAATTCAAAGGACTTTCAAGAACAAGCAGACAGTATCTGGCTGCTTCCTGCAGTCAAGCCCCTCTACAGTGCTCTCAAGTACTGACATCTGCGAAGTAAGGGGACTCTGGGGCTGCCACTGCCTTCTCCTCCTCCTGGAATACTTAAAGGCTTTCTGCCACACGGAGGACCTATGGGGAGACACGCCTAGACTCCAGGCCATATAAGTCCCTTCACCATGAGGCCACGTTGGCTCCCTGCATAGTCTGAAGATCTACCTTAAATGTCTATCTTTGTAGGAGGCGAGGTACTAAGACAGGAACATAGGCCTTGAATTCACTGTAATTCTCCGGCCTCTGACTCTTGAGTGCTGCAGTTATAGGCACGAGGCACCATGCCACGCTAAATATCACCTCTGAACCATTCTGACTCTGTGTGGTTTTGTGTGTGCTTGAAATATTTATATGGAGAGAGAGAGAGAGAAAAAGAGAAAGGGGGGGGGAAGGGGGGGGGAGCCCCAGAGCCAGAGTGAGGCAGATATAGAGAGAAAGAGAGAGAGAGAGAG